AACTGGTATGTGTGTGGTAAATCTTGTTTAATAAAACTGGTATATTTGTGGTAAAACTTGTGTAAACAAACTGGTATATGTTTAGTAAAACTGATGTGTAAACAAACTGGTATATGTGTGGTAAAACGTGTTTAATAAAACTGGTATATTTGTGGTAAAACTTGTGTAAACAAACTGGTATTCAAGTTGAAAAGTGTATATTTAAATTGGTAAGTATGTAATCCAGCTGATAAGTGAGTAGTCAATGCATGTTGAACCTTAGATACGTCTTGGGGGATTAAAACAGACATAATTAAAGATGTAAAATACCAGAAATTTCTAACATGTAGATTACTAGAAAGTTCTAATCATGTAGGTTACAACGAAACATGTAGAGTCGTCAACTTTTTGAAGGCCATAGATAGGCCAAAAATAAAATGTTTTTAATTGTGTACCAGTTTAACGTTGAATATTATTTCTCTGCCAAAATACTATAATTAAAGTTCTTTAAGTTTGACATCAATCTCATCTTTGCGGATAATTTGATTAAACTAACAGGAGATTGAAATAACTACCTTTGTATTTCGTTACAATGGTTTCGCCATGTTTTGCTGACTCGGATTCTTCAATCCTTACCCTCAAGGAATCGATCCCAGCTACCTCAAGGTGTATCCGTTTGGGTGGGTCTGGTACTCCTAAAAAAACCCAAATTATTTGAACTATTCTTTAAAAAGGTTTACGTCTAAAATCTAAGAATTTCCTCAAGACTTCAGAAGGAAAACGAGCTATAGTTCTCTGTTATAATAAATGATTTAAGAAGAGTTACAATAGAACAAAGTAGTAAAACACAGATGGTAAAAATTTCAAACAAGTTAACAATTGTATTAACCATTAAAAATAAAATGGTTTGTTGAATATCGCCCAAAGCTAGTCGAGAATTATCTGCGCTAACCGTCCCTAATTTAGAAGTAATAGACGAAAAGGAAGGCAGCTAGTCAACACCACTCACCGCCAACTCTTGGACTACTCTTTATCAATGACTATTGGGATTTACATTAAAACGCCTCTACGGCTGAAAGAGCGAGCGTGATCGGTAGCGAGATTCTAACCTATGACTTGAAGATTGCGAGTCGAGTACCTTAACCAAAAAATAAATACATGAACCCACAATTAAAGTAAAATAATCTGATAATTACTCTAGTATTTTAACAAAAGAATTATCCGAGATTTAACATTAAATTTTTATCTTTATTAAGACCAATATATTTTGTTTCTTAAGTATTTATAAATAACAGGTTTATTAACCCACCAGACGTGGGGGAATATATTTTAACTTCTGTCTGTGAGTGTATATATATGTATGTGAACATTACAACAATAGTTGTTATCTGATTTTAACCTAATTTGGTATAAAAATTGAGTTTGACCTGAGGAGTAATTGATTAACTTTTCGATAACGTAGGTTAAAGGTCAACCACTTTCGTTATAATCGTAGCAAGTTGTGATTTTGAAAACGGTCAAAATTCGTGAACAAATTGAAAAAGTTTGGGTAACCTTTAACCTATGATTTTTTTTAAGAGTAAGACATTGTTTGGTGAATATCTTAGCTTGGCTACTTCAAAAGTAAAAATCTACTCTGAGGTGTGGGTTGTGCTTTTTTTTTAGTTTATTGAATATACATTTGATAAGAAAAAAAAATATTTATTGTTGTTACTCTAAGGAAATAACTTTAGAATTTAACTACTAGAAAATTGAAGTTAGAATTTCAAATTTTTCATCTTTGGGCCATATACAAGCCTGTGCTGGTGTGGTTTAATGGTTAGCGTGCCGGACTGGGGATCGAAGGGTCCAAGGCTCGAGCCGCGATCCTGCTGAGCACGCTCTGCACTTTCAGCTGTGGAAGTGTTACAGAAAGAGAGCAGTCAATTCCTTATTCGATTCGAAGAGTCGACCTAAGCCCTTGTGGCGGCGTGTGCTGGTCAGTAGGTTAAAATTAGAAACTGCTATTACTGAAATCTGTTCCTCCACGGGACAGCAGTAAGCTTACGGACCTACAACGCTAAAATCTGGGGTTTGATTCCCCGCGATGACAGAGCAGATTTGTTCTAAAAATATACAAATTCTGAACCCCATGGGGGGCTCTGAGAGGGCCATCTAGACCCTATGTCACAATAGTTAACCCTATGGGGGGCTCTGAGAGGGCCATCTAGACCCTATGTC